GCTCCACAGCAGGATCTGCAGCCTGGGTGATCTTACCCAAAGAAACTGCCAGGAGGCAGCTGGGAAAGAGCCAACATGAAATCCTTACTTTTCTATAATCATGCAATGTCTTCTCTGAGGGTATCAACATTTCTAAACTAAAATTTATTCTTCTTGGAGGGCACAATTTTGGAAAGAAGTCATAAAACGTATTTGATTACAGACCCTAAAGTTTCATGTCAGGCAACTACTTAAGTGCCTAGGGCATCTTGGACTCAAAAATTCTAAATCAATCCATCGATATTGTGCCTCACCAGGAACACTGGAATGTATAGTGTGAAGCTTTTCAGATGCTTCTCATGAGCTTCAGCAAGTGAACTACCACATGCTCAGAGCAGGAAATGAGCTTCAATCAGAAGACGGCCACTGAGGATGAAGATACAGAACCAAAGGAGAGTCAAGGGACAGGCACTGTCCCTTGTTAGAGAAACATGGCCCAGACGCCAGAGATAAGAAAGTTTTCTGCAACTTAACATGACTGGTAAAGACATCACATATAGGCACGTTGATAAGCCCTGTGTGCACCTGAGTGTGAGTCACTGATCCTTACCTGCTGAGAGGCCCAGCTTCTCTGCCAGGTGACGATCCTCTTCACAAATGTACGTGATGCAAACTTGGCATGCCCGAGCCCCCTTCCAAATAACAGAGTCAAACAACGCTCGGGCCTTATCCATGACTGTGGCGTTTTCACGTTTTACTTTCTCCATCTCTTCCTGGTTCAGCACCCTTTTCTCTAATAATTCATCCAGTAAGCCATTTATTGCACCTTCATCCGCTGAACAGATAAACAGCTTCCTCTTCTCCTTCAGGACCTTGTCTGCTTAGAGCACAAGGATTTCTCACATCCTGATAATAGCCTTGTATTCCTCTCATGTCATCAACAGGAAGTGACCTCATTTAGATTTTATCAGGAAGATGTTCCCCTCCTCACAGTTGGGGAATCCCTCTTCTTACTGTACAGCTGTCCTACTTGTTTCCCTGAATAGTCCCTGTACATGTGCCTGAAGACTGAGTTTACCATTTCCAGGTTAGTCTCTGTAAAGCAGAGACCATCCTTTCATGTCCCATGTTTATTTAACTCTAAATAATAAAGTAATGAAACAGAAATAGCCCATTTCCTTTAGGAACAACAGGTGCTAGTACTCTTCCTGTGCCAATTCTGCACCTTCTATTAGACTTACGACATGTGAGAGTTTAATTAAGATTGCAAAATGACAGCGGGCTACTACTAAAGCCTCAGTTCCTTTCTGGGCTTGTTTTTCCTTTCTAAAGGCTGCGAGAGTCTTCTAGTTCTTTCTCTCCTCCCTGTTCTCTCTCTCCCTCACTTCTGCTCACTTGAACTTCCACAGATACTAATTATGGCTTCCAGAAGAGCCAGCCCCTTCCAAAACTCTTTCTTCTCAGGGACCTGTCCTTGGAACAGTGTAAGACTCACCAGCCATGGCTTTCTCTCCTGCCGTTCTTGTGTGATGTAAAACTGAAGCATGTTTCACCTTCCTTTTTACCTTCCTTTTATCCTTTCTTAGCAGGGCGTGCACACACATTGCGAAACAACCACTGCACATGCATGTGCATTGATTTTTTTTTTTTCCAGGGAAAATCAGATTCCTGAACTGTAGAATGCATCGGAGAGTGTATCCTTGGGAAATTTTCTTCACCAGTCCTCGGAACAGGTCAGAGTGAGAGGGGAATGGGGCTTGGAGAATAAGAAAAGAATGTGAAAGTATGTGTACAATGAACTCACACAGTGAAGAGTTTCTCATTCATTAGAAAAGTAACACAACCTTTAGAGAATTTGGTCCACTGCTCTCCCGGGCCAACCTCACATGGGAATTCATGGAAAATTATGTCCCTGTGAAACCATTTTGCTTTAAGAAATGAAAACATTTTCACCAAAATTAAAGCTTTTCTTATTTAATGTCCTTCCTTCTCATGGGATGTTTTTCCTAATACAGTATTTTATTCTGTCGCCCAGGCTGGAGTGTAGTGTCACTAACATGGCTCACAGCAGCCTCAGCCTCCACCTTCCTGGGCTCAGCAGAGGAACCAGGCACATGCTACCATGGCCAGATGGTATTTTTATTTGAAAAACAGAGACTCCCTATATTTCCTAGGCTGGTTTTGACATCCTGCCCTCAAGCGATTCACCCACCTTGGCCTCCCAAAGTGTTGGGATTATAGGTATGAGCCACCCACCCATCTAGGATGGTTTTCTTTTGAGGGTCATTGCATCATAGAGGCCCAGAGCCAAGACTCTGGACTCAGAATGTTGAACTTAGCATTTTAAACTTCGTTTTGTGAGCAAGAAATTGAACTTTCCTATGCACTGGTTCCTTTGTCAGTAAAATAATTTCATTAATAGTGCATGCCTACAGTTTTGAGCACTAAGTGAGAGAAAAATGTAAAAAGTGCATGGAACATTGCCTGGCAAATGGTAAGCAGATAATGAGTGATATTAGTATAATTAATGCAAATATTTTACATTAGAAAAAAACAGGGAAAATTATTTGCAGATTATACAGCTAAGTTTTGTTAGACTCTTCAAGCAGTGCCTCCAGTTATTCATTTAACATTTAACATTCATTTAACATTTAACCACACGGACCATATAGTTGTAGGAGCCAGGGGTTCAGTCAACACATACCACAGTCATTTACCTCTTGCTCTCACATACAAAAGTGAAAGACAAATGTGAAGCCCTCTGTGTAGTATGTAACTGGGGTATTCAGAATGTGCAAAGATGGCAGGTGATGAGAATAAGAAATTAATTGGAGAAGTAGGAGACAAAATATTTGAAGACTCATGAAAACTGTACAGAGAGAAGCCACGGAAGGCCAGACGAGGACTCTGTCTTTGCAAGCACGTGTTCAATTGATTTCACCAGGAATAAATGCAATGTGGCCAATTTATTTTATGAATCTCTTTGATGGAACATGGACTAATAACAAAATGCAGATGGTACTTTATGGTGATCAATTTCGTGACCAATATTTTTCTTGGGTTATTGCCTTATCTTTAGAGAATAAGGACCTGAAGTTACAAAAAACATCCACCTTTTGACATGTGGGCCACCAGCCTTACCTCCTGTGCTCTAGGCTAAGAGACAAATGTGTTTGATTAGAGTAGAATACACTGTGTAAGAGGACAATTATGTGGCTTTTAATCCCTGGAGTTTCTGATGATTTATTTTGAATCTTTACTCTGACAATGAGTTAATCTGATTGCAGCAGAATCTTGTGCTCCTGGCTACTGAGAGGATTTGCAGCACGGAAGAAAGCAGAAATTACCTGCATGCCTCTCCTCTTCCATTCATTTTCTTTTCAATTTATTTACTGATTATTTTCTCTATTAATTTAAGGATTTCACATGAAGGTTTCTCCTCCAGCGAGAGCCATAAACTACTGAGCTGAGCATGCCAAAGTGGCCTCCAGGACACAGAAGCCATGACTAGACCATGTGTCTGGGATGTAGAATCATAAGCCTCGAGCCTCATGTCCTTGGAAAGCAAACACTGAGCCACTGGATTGCAAGAGCCCACTGTTGCCTCAAAAATGAAGATGTTATAAACTGATGACAACTCAATATCCAGCTTAGGAGCAAGGGAAATCATTTGTGCTATACACACACACACTGGAATACCTATTCAGTCATAAAAGAAAAAAATACAAATATATGCAATAACATGGATGAAAACATTATGCTTTCATTATGAGTGAAATAAACCATATACAAAGGAACACATATCCTGTGATTCCAATTATATAAACCTCTAGATTAGAGATAACTAACCTGTAGTGATAAAAATTTAATCATGGCTTATCTTAGGGGAAATGGGCAGGAGATCGAGGACAAATGGCATGACAAAACTATCTGGGTGACAAAATTGACCAACGTTTCTATCTTTTTTTTTTTTTTTTTTTGAGACGGAGTTTTGCTCTTGTTACCCAGGCTGGAGTGCAATGGCGCCATCTCGGCTCACTGCAACCTCCGCCTCCTGGGTTCAGGCAATTCTCCTGCCTCAGCCTCCTGAGTAGCTGGGATTACAGGCACGTGCCACCGTGCCCAGCTAATTTCTTGTATTTTTAGTAGAGACGGGGTTTCACCATGTTGACCAGGATGGTCTCGATCTCTTGTCCTCGTGATCCACCTGCCTCTGCCTCCCGAAGTGCTGGGATTACAGGCGTGAGCCACTGCACGTTTCTATCTTTACTTTGCCAATGACCTAATCCGTTTGCAACACAGTCTGTGCTCCTTGCCACTGGGAGGATGTGTAGCCTGGAAGAAAGCAGAAACTGCCTACACATTCATTTTCTTCCATTCATTTGCTTTTAAATTTATTTATTTTCTCTATTAACTTAATGATTTCACACAAACGTTTCTCTTCCAGCCAGAGTCACAATCCACTGAGTAGAAGCATGCTGAAATGGCATCCAGGATACAGAAGCTATGACTAGTCTGTATATCTGGGGACAATGAACCATAAGCCTCAAGTCTCATGCCCTGGGGAGCTAAACACTGAGCCACTAGATTGCAAGAGCCCACTGTTTTCCTCAAAAATGAAGATCCTGAAAAATGGAGACAAACCAATATCCAATTCGGGAGCATAAAATAACAATTTGTGCTATGCGTGTACACTGAAATGCCATTCAGTCATAAAAGGGAAATATTGCCAAGATACGCAATCACATGAATAAAAACATTTCACTTTCTTTTTGAGTGAAAGAAGCCCTATAAGAAGGAACACATACCCTGTGATTCCAATAATATAAAGTTCTAGATTAGCAGAAACAAATGTAAAGTTATAGAAATTCAATCACTACGTATCTGAGGAGGAAGTGGAAGGAGATTGAGAACAAAGGGCAAGACAAAACTTTGTGGAGTGACAAAATCGGTTTGCCTATTCATTGGGAAGTGATTATACGAAATATCCTCATATCATTAATAACCAATTTGCAGTCGCAAAAGGGGTACATTTTCTTTAATGTAAATTATACTAAAATAACATTACAATTTCGAAATGAAGAAGGTCAGTGGTAGTAATAATAGACTAATTTAGAAATTGTTTTAAAATTACAGGACACACTCAAGCCTCCACAAATTAGTCATAATTCTGGTAAGAGTAAGTGGTTCTTATAGTGACTGAAATGTAATTACCTGCCATCCAAGTTTGATGGGGATATGTACACTGAATTAAGATAATTTTATAGGCCTAATTTATTCACTGAAATATGTACCTGAAAGTAATATTACATAAGTAAAATTATCTTAAAATGAATGAATGTAGCAACTCTAAGTAATGTTTAAAATGCACATAGTGATTTAAAAATCGTTCTATCAGTGTGAAGTCTGTGAAACAATATCATCCTAAATGACAGAGTAGATTCCACAATAATCCCCGACACGGAAGACAGAAAATTCCTGTGCTTGGCTTTTGGCTGTCCCATTTCCAAGCCTCAGAACATCATGCACCCTTTCAGTTTACCCAGCCCCTCTTCTTATTTATACTTCTGGACTATCAGTACATTTTGGGTAATACAACTCAGAGCACTAATCAACCATAACATGTTATTTTATTTTTTCTTTGTCTAAAAGCTTCCTCCTCTGTGCACAGCTTATCAGCATGGACTTTGGTGTCTGATAGTCCCGAAGTCAACTTCTGTTTATGAGCTGTAGATCTTAGACAAGTCATGTAATGTCTCTCAGCCTCTGTGTTCTCATGTATAGGAGGGGGCTCTTAATCATTCTTACCTTCTAGGATGCAATGCCAGGTGTGGAGGGCATGCCACAGTACCTTTCATTCATGGTAGTCTTCGCCTACAGTCCAGAAGCAAGGTCATATCAAAATGTACTGTTCGGTTAACTACTTCAAAATTTTTCTTAATGCTTCATTTCAGTATGTTAAATAAGCATTAATTTCATTTTATGAATAAGAAGACCAGGTAAAAAGTTGGTCCAAAGCCTTTGTAAGCACATGTTAGTAAATTGGGTGGGAAGCCATTCTTCCCCTTCAGCCCACTCATTATTGCTCAATCTAATGTGCTTCCTCCAGCTGGGCACTGCACTGGGAAATCTGAAATAGATAAGCAGACAAACGGCGCCGTTTGTGTCAGTGAAAAATAAATTCTGAGTTAAAAACATCTAGACTATGATAATTTATAGCAATCAGCCTCAGAAACATATGTAAACTGGTCAGATGGGCAACAGGAAACCATGGCAGCTTTCTAGGTAGGAGAGTCATGTTAACATGCTTCTAAAGTAACTATTTCATATCGAGTGTTTAACCAGGCCCAGGCCCTGCGATAGATGCTTCATCTGTATTGGTTCCACTAGTGGAACCATTTAAAAATATTGGTACTTGGACTAACCCCAGATTACAAAATCAAAATCTCATCCTGAGCCTCACCCTTGAGACTCCATGCACCACAACATCCAGAATTTAATAGGGCATGTTCTTTGAGGCGTTGCTTGTCACATATGAACCAGGAGCTGGGCCCTGAGTGGCCTGAGTGTTGGTGACAGGGAAGGGGTAAGAATGTCTGGGAGTTGGGGCTGACTACAGAAAGAAGCTGCAGAAGAGTAGGAAGGAGTTAGGATGAAGCAGTAAAGAGCTTGCCTGGACAGGCAGGAAGCCAGGAGGTGTGTGGTTTCCTTGTGTCAGATTTCTTTACCAGCAGTACAGATAACGACTGATGCATAAAACCTACACGAGTTAGAAAGGCTCATCTTGGAACCAGATAGAGCCAAATCCCTGAGGATGGATAGACCTGGTCTTGGATGTGGTGTGTTGCCTAGCAGCAGAAGCAGAAGCCATTCTTCTCCTTCAGCCCACTCGAAATATGAACTACACTGACAGACAAAGTATATAAATACACTGGAAAGGAAGCCGCTATGAGGGTATATCAGCAGAAACAAGAGACTATAAACTTAGATCTTGAAGGGCATTCAGATGTTGGACCAATCAAATATCAAATATACAATGAAAGTGTATGAAGGATTTAAATAAAGGGAGCAAAATGTAATTATTCTATAATAAGAAATAGTTAGAAAAACCATAAAATGGAGCATGTATAAATACAAAAGTTATATTTAATAATTAACAAAATAAAAGGCAGACACACAAAGTCTGTGAAAATGTAAAGGAGCTGGAAGATACAGAGAAGGACAGTTGACCTTTGAACAGTGCAGTACTTAGAGGTGCTGGCCCTCACACATAATTGAAAATCTGCATGTAGCTTTTGAGTCTCCCCCAAACTTAAGTGCTAATGGCCTGCTCTTGAAGGGAAGCCTTACCAGTAACAAAAATCATTGATCAACAAAGATTTTGTATGTTATATGTATCATATGTTGTAATAGAAAGTACGTTAAAGAATATATTATTAAGAATATCATAAGGAAGAAAATGTATCTACTATTGATTAAGTGTAAGAGGATCATCGTAAGGTCTTCAGCCTCATTGTCCTCACGTTGAGTAGGCTGAAGAGATGGAGAAAGGGGATGGCTTAGTCTTGCAGTCTCGTGGTTTGCAGAGACAAAAGAAAGAATCAGCGGTGGAATGGAAGGCAGGAAAAACAGGCGTACTGTGTGCATCTTTGTGGAAATACGTAGATATTTCTATCTTTTTTTTTGCTTTTCCATTTTCCTAGGCAGTGCCGATGTTACGCCCACCATTTCCTTTACTTTCAGCGCTCATATCATAGAATGGTCTTTGTTGTGAAACAGGTCAAAAGCTGCCCTGAATAATCAGAATCTTTGCAAATTTATAATGCCAATTTATGCTCTGGCACTGCTTCTTCTACATGTTCTTCTTCCTCATTTGGAGCTGGTTCAGAAGCACTCATCTCTGTCAAGTCATCTTCAGTTAATTTCTCTGATGTGCAATTAGCTCTTGAATTTTTATAAGATCCATGTCATAAAACTCTTCACGTTTCTTTCTTTTTTTTTTTTTTTTTTTTTTTTTGCCATATCCACAATCTCTTTCATTATTTTCTTGATTTATTTTTTCATAAATCCTACTGCAGTCATGAAAAACTTCCGGCCACAATTTTCTCTAGCAGAAATTTATTGGGCTCTTGCTCTTGCCTAGGTTGGCCTTAAACTCCTGGGCTCCAGAAATCCTCCCACCTTAGCCTCTTTGGTCTCTGGCATCGTATGCCCACACCTCTGCACCCATAATCATGGCTTTTACTTTTTTTTTTTTTTTTTTTGAGACAGAGTTTCGCTCTTGTTACCCAGGCTGGAGTGCAATGGCGCGATCTCGGCTCACCGCAACCTCCGCCTCCTGGGTTCAGGCAATTCTCCTGCCTCAGCCTCCCGAGAAGCTGGGATTACAGGCCCGTGCCACCATGCCCAGCTAATTTTTTGTATTGTCAGTAGAGATGGGGTTTCACCATGTTGACCAGGATGGTCTCGATCTCTTGACCTCGTGATCCACCCGCCTCGGCCTCCCAAAGTGCTGGGATTACAGGCTTGAGCCACCGCGCCCGGCCCGGATTTTACTTTTTTAATACCAGTGATGTCATCTTCAGTGGTGTCGGCCTTCCAGACTTTCGTGATGTCGTCTTTACCAATGGTCTTCCTTGGCATTCGCAAATACTTCCATAGAGTAATGTGTGTAATGAGCATTGAAATTCCTTCTGACCTCCTGATTCAGAGGCTGAATTAGAGATATTGCAACTGGGGGCAAGTAGACCATTTTGATCTTTTTTGTGTTAAACTCAGGAGGTTTTGGGTGGCCAGGGGCATTGTCCAACATCAAAAGAATCATACAATGCAGTCCCTTATTGGCAAAATATTTCCTGGCTTCAGGGACAAAGCATCAATGAAATCAATAGACAAAAATCCCTCCTGTTGCCCGGACATTCTTGTTGTACAACTGAAACGCTGGCAGCTGGTGTTTGCCATGTGTTCAAGGCTCAGGGGTGAGTTGCTTTATATATAAGAGCAGTCCTGATGATAAACCCGACTGCATTCTCTGAAAACAGTAGAATCAGCTTATCCTTTTCTGATTTAAATCATGGTGCTTGCTTCTATTTCTTACTAATAAGTGGAATTTTTGGCATCTTTTTTCTAGAATAGGACACTGTCATCTGTATTGAAAACCTGTTCAGGTAGTATAGTTTCTCTTCAATGATTTTCTTAATAGTTTCTGGAAACTAATCTGCTGCCTCTTGATAAGCAAAAGCTGCATCTCCTGATATCTTGACATTTTTAAACAAAAGCACTCCAAAACTATCCAACTGTCTTTGGCTGTCACTGAAGTATCCAATTTTAGATCCTTCCCCTTTCTTTTGCTTTAAGTTGTATACAATGACTTAACATTTTCTGGAGTCATATTAGAGTTTATAAATACACCTTATGTATAAAAATCCTGCAACCACATATAAGCTTCAGTTTCAATAATTAGAAATCGAGCTCAGTGAAATAGCAACAGGAATGGCTATGAAAATACAGGAGTACAATATGCAGGATTAATTTATGCAGTTAGGATTTAACACTGCATCTGTTTATATGTTTACATTTCTCTCGATTGCAAGTGGTATTATATACTACCTATGTGTGCATAAACTTTAACAAACTTTAACTTTTTATAATAGATTTGTATATATTTTATAATATGGTAGTACATGATAAAATAGACTAACATCTTTATAAATCTTGTTCATGTTTTACATACCTATCTTAATTTTCCATATTTCTAGGGTAGATGGTTTGCAATTTTTTGTTCAAATTATAGGAAATCTCCAAAAATTTTTCCAATATGTTTGTTTTAAATACACATATAAGCAGACCAAGACATTTCAGATCCCTGTTGTTCGTAGGATAACACCAATTTATCTAGATTGCAAAAACAAATGAGAAGTGGAAACATTTGAGAGCTTCAGAGATATGAAGGATGGAATGAGAAACTCTAACATCTATCTGATCAAATTACCAGAAAGATAGAAGAGAGAGAATAGAAAAGACAAAATATAAAGCAAAGTTTTCAGAACTGGGGAAAAGTATGTGTTCACTGATTGAAGAGGCACAATGTATGCTTAATAGAATAAGTTTCAAAAATAATTGCTTTCTAACAGCGCTGTGAGTTGGCATTGTTATGCGTTGAATTGTGTGCCATAAAAACATATTGAATTCCTACTCCCACTGGGAAAAATCATTGTTATTACATGACACAGCACTTCAGCCCGCCTGACTTTCGTGCTGCTCTGGTGGGGATTTGCCCTTATGTGGTTACTGTCACACATCAAGCCACTATCCCTCAGTTTCTTTCTGCTTTGAAGATTGGAGCTGTTCACCAAAGGACTGAGGGCTGCTTACCTGTGCATAGGTGGGTCCTGAACTGTGGGAGTGGAAGAACCTGCTCCTGGGGGCTAATTTCAGACTATGAATAGTATAAATCAGTTGATGAATGTCTCAAACTCTCCATCTTCTGGTAAGGTAGAATGTACATAATTGTAGACGATCCCTAAGAAAGAGTGAATCCCAGTTTCTCAGAGCGGTAATAAATTCATTAATGCGACATTTTCGGAAATTGTCTTCCCTTCATCTCTTTCCCCACTCCCTCACTTCTGCTTCCTGGAAACACTTTCCAAATCATACCTACACTCAAGTTCCTGACCCCTCTTGTTTCATAATCAACCGAACTATGTTATTATCATCATCATCATCACCACCATCGTTACCATCATTATCTTCATTGAGCACTTTAAGTATGAACAGAACTATGGCTAGTCTTCTACATATATCATGTCATGTAATTCTTACTACATTACAAAATTGCTAGGATTAACTCTCCTCACAGATAAAAGTCTGCAGCTAAGTTAATTGCACATATAATCACACATCTAACAAGTATGGGGCAGAGGTGAATTTGGATAGATCTGCATGCAAATCCAGATTCGTTACACGTTCGCAATTTCCTCTAAGCAGAGTGCTAGAATCTTCTATTTTTAATAGCCTCTACTTCTTAGGACAACCTTCCTACCTTAGGATTTCAAGCCTCGGTACTATGCTCCTGAGATGATTTAAAAGACTTATTCTTAGCTTTTTCCACAGTGTCTATTCACTAGCGGAGGCCAAGCAAGCTAGTGAATAATGTCCATTTACATGTGTCTTGTCTGCCTAGCCACACTGCATACTGTTAGATTTGGGGGCTTTTTTTATTATGTTTTTGTCTTATAGGACTCTGCATATTTCTCTGTGATTCTCATACTACTCTTTGAAGAGAATTAAATGACGGGTAAACTTCAAATGGTAGGGATGATATACGTAGAATTATCTTCTGCAGGTGGAATGGGAGATACAATAGAGAGGAATGCATAAAATCATAAGGAAATTACTGTAAATACTAAGATCCTCATTGGAGCTGCTTAAACATCGTTGCTTATGTTTGCATATCGCAGGGCCTCCTGTTGGATTTATTCAAGTTTTGTAATGACAAATCATAAAAACTGTCTAGGAAATTGCTTCCTTGGGATTGTAGTGTTAAAAAAAATCCTTTCTCCTACAGGCTTTATTAACGATTCCATCTGGGGCCAGCAAAGAAGTGTTTTCAGTCGTTTTATTGAGTTCTTCACACATGCATTTTCTTCTTTCACAGAATGGATTCTTCATATTGCTACTAGTCATGAAAAAGACGCAAATGTTGGTGTAATCATCCTCGTATTTTCTGTTTTCTCTCAGTCTCCTTTCTTACCCACTATAACCCCTACTGTTCCTCTTTCTCTGGCAAAATATGATTCGTAGCATAAGAGAATTTTTCATAAGAAAAAACATCATATTTCCGTGATGATTTCAGAAAAGTGGGTAAATGTATCTATTTCAAGAAAGATGGGAGGATAAAATGATGTAACACTATATTGATTAATGTAAGAAAATGTAATTGCATCTCTCTCTCTCTTTCTCTTACACACACACACACACACACACACACACACACTACTTCACTGTGATGCCTTCTCACAAATAGCCAAGGTTAATTTCTTTTTCCTAAGAAGAATACTAATTGAGCTCTACAAATCTTGAAAACGAATAAACTGAAGTCGTGATCTATCAGTAACCACTGGATTCAGTGAACAAGACTGAATGACAACAAGAAACTTGCCAATTCCTTATGTTTCCTGCACCAAAGCAACACAACAGTCACCCCACAGGAGTTCTGGATGATGACGACCTTTAACTTGTCCGTAAAATCAGAGACAGTCCCAGGTTTCTTGTGTTAGAAATGTAGTATTGCAGCAAACTTGGAGTATCTACTAGATCTCTGGCAGTCACAGTTAGTTTTTACCCCAGCAGCATGAAAATTACCTGTTACTAGAAATACAGAATCTCAGGCTCCACCCAGACCTGCTAAATCTGAGTTGGCAGTTTAACAAGATCACCCGGGTTTTTTTTTTGTTTTGTTTTTTAATATTAAGTTTCAGAACATTGCTCTAAATGCCTCGGCCAACTAATACCCTCTAAAATGTCACAAGATGCAAACACAAAAATAGTTACCTAAAGCATTCCAAGGTTCTGGGCAGGTACAAATGGCTTATCACCAAAGTTTGTCTTCAAGATTCCAGAGTCACTGAATTTTGACTCAGCTGAAGTACAGTTTACTCAGTAAGCCCAATTGAACAAAGGGTAAAATCATGTTAAATTAGTCAATTCTTTCTTTTAATCTCAAGGTTCCACTTACCCACGCCTCATGGACAATTGTATTCACGATTAAGATAAAGTATCGATTTGTTTTGTATTTTCTTGGATTATAGAAAGAAATAGCAAAAACTGATAGGATGGTGAATTTGACCGTCCAGGAAGGCTGGATTGCTATTTCCTGCAGAAATGATAAGGAATAGCTGGGTAAGGAATTGCAAGGAAATGTTTATAGTGGTGTGTGGCAACATCCCCCGACGATGAGAAATGGTCCACAAGTTTTGGCATCGATGTTGGTGGGTATTGTGCTTGAACCTCTGTGACTGGGTGATTGATGACAAATTTTAGACATTAACAAAAGGTCACTTAGTAATTGCCACACTTAGTTGATTTCAGAACACACTTTTTAAGTGCGCTAGTAATTAAAAGTCTACTAAAACATATGTAAGTTTTGTAAATGTAATCATTGACGAATTGTTGATTGACACCAGTGTATACACTGGAAAGGTTTTGACCACAGCGAGTTTTGATTGTTAGCATAAGAAATTGAAGCTGTGTCTGAACCTTAACTTAGTTCTTGAAGTAAGATTTTGAGTGTCTGAATTCTGCATTCTGGAAAGATATTTTTATAGCACAACAATAAAACCATGTGTAATGTAAAAGAACATTACATATACATAAAGATACCTCATAATAATTTCAGACTGGATTCACTTAAAGATACTTGTGTACTCTGATGGTCAAAAACCTGACTTTTCTGTAGCTGACCATTCCTGCTGAATTAAGGTCCAGTTATTCCTCCTGGTAGATAATAATGTGTGTGGACTTGTCACATGGGTAGGGATAAACAAATTACTATTTGAAAGTAATTCCCCTTTTATTAGAGAAAATATCCCTGCTTCATTTTTTTTGTTCTAATATCAGGAGAACACAAGAAAATATCAGAAGGTAAATGTAATCATCACCATATCACTGATGGTGCATCAGGATTCAGTTTATCACAAATTGTGTCTTTCATTCTGGTCATCTCTGTAAGTTGCCAAAAGAGCTAATGATACCATGTTTAATTGTCTGTGAACCAATCACAATATCCCGTCATGGATCCTATTTCAGTTTTGGGCATCTGAGCATTTATAGCTAGTTCTTCATATTATCCTTGTACCTGAAAATAAAATGAGTGTTTCAGGTTCGAAGCCTTTCATAGAACAATAAATATTGCACCATGAACCAAGGTGAAGATAACTTGAGCTGAGAATTTGGTGGAATTATAAGGAAAGAAGAGCTTTGTTAATGCCAGAGGACATGTGGCCCTGAGATATTCTGAGGACCATCCAAGTCACACCATCTCTTTACAGTGACTTCAAGGTCACGGTTGAAGCTTTACATTGAGATAAGCTATCTAATCCCAAGATCTTTTGGCATTTATTACCTCCTGTAATCTCTTTCTCTGATCACCAAATATGGACTCTAAAATATCTTTCAGAGGAAACTCTTTGGAGATTTGGACCCGAAGTTGTCTGCTTTCAATCTTCACCAAGGCTGATCTTCTCAAAATGATTCTCTTGAAGCTTAAATTCCAAGCTTTTGTGCCTAAGACCTTTTCATTTATCTGCCCACTGAGACATCCACTGCCATCGATCTCGATCTCATAATCCATTTTTAAGCTGGTTTCAGGTCTCTTTTCCATGACCTGAACTTTGATCTTCTGAGAAGTTCAAAGCACAATTCCCTATTTCAATCTGAAGGGTCAATAAATGATTTTTCTTTTCTTTTTTTTTTTTTTGAAATTATCAGTTACCTTTTCAAACCTTTATGTGAGAAATCTTTATTCTATGATTCTTTATGGAAAAGCACATTAGAGTTACTCTACCTTTGGTTAGAGGAGGATTTTGTTCTCCTAATTTGATTCCAATTTCTTCATATGAGGTCTGAAACTTCAACTTCTATCCATTGAAAGCAGAAAACTCCATTCCTCAAAGATCCTAAAATTTGTATAGCTCCACTTTATTGTGACCTCATCTTCTAGCATGTATGGCTTAAATCGCCAATAACCTTCTATGTCCTACTCATCCTCAATTTTCATCCTTAGATTTTTCAGCCTGCCTAACCTGAAAAATTAAGTTACTTTTATGTTTTACAATGGGAAAGTAGAGCCTTCAACGGGAGGAACACTGGCATAGGAATAATAATTTCTACCTTATATATTTGGCCTCATTCTTTCTAATTAAATTTACTATGGGGCAGGCATGGTGGCTCAGGCCTGTAATCCCAGCACTTTGGGAGGCTGAGTTGGGAAAATCATGAGTTCAGGAGATTGAGACCATCCTGGCTGACAGGGTAAGACCCCATCTACAAGGTGAGGTTTGGGTGGGGATACAGAGCAAACGGTATCACCCTCAAAATGTGTTTTCTCAAACAAACTATCTGATTATCAATGAGAAGAGCCCTAACCCCAATCACTTGTCTCAAAGAAACACTTCCTATCAGTGGCATATACCTCCTCTTTGGAGGAAAATATCAAACATTCTCATTTTCTGTATTTGATGTCAAGCTACAATGATTGCTTTTGCCATAATGTATGACTGACAAATTCAAAATTAAAGGAACCACATTAAGTTTTATTTTAGTTTTCTAAAGAGCTTGGAAAAAGTGAACATTCTAAAAAAAAAAAAAAAAAAAAAAAATCAGGAGATGTTTTGTCTTTGTTCCTGGCACCCGGTCCTTTGCTAGCACTTACGCCAGAAATTTTAGTAATTGGCATGCGCTAACAAATTAGAAGACCTCCCGAGGCATCGAGAAGATAATGCTTCGTTACTTAACACCATGTACACAGGGAAAAGATGGCGGAAGCATGAGTAATAGCCGGTGCTTTGCTCTGGAGGGTGCAGAGCGATGGCATCACGCTCTCTTGACTCCACAGATCTCCACTCCTCCACATTAAAGTCCTACCTTGTCGCACCCTGCCCATGTGGCACCGAGGCTGTCAGTACTTTCATGAAAACGTTTTTTGTGAAAGCCGGATTTATGGCAACGGATTATTTGTCCATGGATTTTTCTCTATTATTTTCCCAGAGAGGAAGTTTTGCTTATTATGTGGAGTAATTTTCACAGACCTCGGCCTGAAAAACTAGATGAGAACGTTGGGAAGAAGCAATGTTATTTGAACCTCTGAGTGGGGCCTTCATTCGTTCCCATCACAGCAGACTCCCAGTGCTGAAAGCACCAAAGTGGGCTGTACCTGTCTCTACAGGATTGCAAAGAAACTGAACAAAGAGAAAAGGAAAGGGAGGGACTTTCTCAGCTACAGTATCACCATCATGACCTTCATTATTATTATTGAGGAATTTTCCTTTGTTGGTGTGGGGAGAGAAATAACAAGAAGCAAGTCATGTGACTGAGAGATTTATTCCAACCCAATGTCATTGACCGGCTTTGTGAAAACCACATTTGTGTTTTTTCGCTTTTTTATCTCACAATAATAGGGTTTTTTCTGGAAGCTTCAGGAAGTGGCAGTAGTTCACGAGAGTTTCCATCTTCACTCTGTAGGGGAAAAAAGTGTTACTGGAGTGGGCCAGCTCTGATAACAAGAGCCTGCACCTGGGCTCTTAGGAGGTCTGGAAATGGAAGGGGTAGACTACAGACAACGGCCTGCAGACTGGACGTGTGCAAATAGACCATATTACACAAAAGAAAAGGCAAAGGAGAGGACTATGAAAGACAATCCATGTATCATTTCATGAAAAATAATTATTCGGAGCATATTTAATTTTACATACACGCTCCATTGGTTCTTTGACAATTCCATCAACATTGTGTATTCTGAAAAGCACTTAATAGGGAGAGGAGGTAAGAGCAGGGCGGTAGTACAGAGAGACCTTGCACCTTCCATACTACTAAACACATGGGCTTCTTAGGCTAAAGAAGGAGTGATGTTGTGCATTGCTCCCCAGGGCCGGTAAAGGATTCAGGATAAAAACATCTAAACTCTTTACATGAACTGTAGTAATGAGTTACTGCCCACATAGAACTGGAGATGAGCTGTGTGCAGCAGAGGGTACAAGGGACATAGAAGGGTAGAGACAAGAGACATAAACGAGAGCCACATATACAGGAATGGGGTCTGAGGCTGAGATACCAGGAAGCCCGTTATCAACTGGCAAGACAAGTGAAGAAATCGCAACCGAATTCAAGATACAGCGACTGTTTGGACATCAGGTTGAATCCTTCCCCCTTACCTTTGCGCAAACCCATCTTTGAGGCAAGCGGAGGGTCTTCTTCACAGAGATGCCTGATAAATTTGCGGCAAGCCTCTGGTCCTTTTCCAATAACGAGGTCAATCAAGACTCGAGCTTTATCCATGACGGTGTCGTTTTCGTCTCTCACTTTGTTCATATCTTCCTGGCTGATAACTCTGTCTTCTAATAGGCAATCCAGCAAGGCGTTTATTGTGCCTGCACCCACCGAATGGATAAAAATTCTTCTCTTTTTAAACAAGAGTTGGTCTGTTGGAGGAATAAAGATTTCTCAAATAATGAACATGGTACAATTTTCCTCTCAATTCACCAACAGGAAAACAGTTTAAAACACAGGAAAATGTTTAATTAAACATTTCTCTCCACAAGCACATGTATTCCAGGGACAAGTACAGTAATCCCAAGGAATGATCTTACACCTTTGCATTTATTTCATGTACTTCCTTCTGATTCTAGCATTACCCACATATGATCACTGAGTGACCTGGGAGACCTAATTTTACGATTTTTCTCTTAATCTTCTAAAAATCAGAGGTCATTCTGCTCTGATACATCCCAATTTCTTGAATATTGAAGGGAAATTGCAGTTTCTTGACTTTTGAAAGGAATTGACTGTTTCCTTTGAGAACAACAGCTGCTGATATCCATCCCATGGCCATTCTCATCCTTAACTACATAATCCTTCAAATGCAGACAACGCGAGCAAAATTATAGCAGATATCAGTAGGAACCCAGATCCTTCCTGGCTTTTATCTTTTCCTTCAAAAATGCTGTGAAAGTCTGGGTGCCTTCCCACCTTCCCTCTCCTTTCTCCTTTCCCTGTGCGCTGAAAGGCTGCTCACAAAATCCTTCACCAAGCCTAATGAGAAAGTCCTTTCCCAAATGAATTCCCCCCTAGGACCTATTCTCTTCCTACGGAAGACTCACCGGCCATGGCTCCTCGCGCTGGTGCTGGCATTTTGTGTTACAGTTGTGGCAACAGGCACACTCCTTCAAGCAGGGCGTGACTCAGATGAATGAATAATCATTACACCTACGCATGTGCTGAATTCTTCCCAAGGAAGCTGTTAGTTATTGTCATTTCCCAAGATATTTTTAAGTAATTGAACCTCAGGTTGTAGCATGAACTGTGACCATAAGAAAATTACTTCACCATTCCTTGAAGGGTGAGAAACAAGAATAAAAGAAATGAGAAGGCACATACAGAGTTAAACATATGCAGTAAACCGTCTTTCATTCACTGAGATTCAAATAGAAAGTAAAGCGAGAACATAGAGTAGTTTTGCCACCTACATTAAGTAGTAAGCGTTTCCTTTTTTAAATTGTGGTAACGTACACATAACACAAAATTTACCATCTTAACCGTTTTCCAGTGTCCGGTCCAGCGGCATCAAGTACATTCACATTGCTGTGGAGCCACCAACACTGTCCAACTACAGTTCTTTTCATTTTGGGAAATTGAAACTCTACACTCACTAAACAGTAACTATTCTTTTCATCTCTCAGCCCCTGGCAACTACTGTCTTTATGAATTTGACTTCTCTAAACTATTCAGTTTTAATTTTTGGTGCCTGACTTATTTCACTTAGCATAATGTCCTCACTGTTTATTCCTGTTGGGCATGGGTCACAATGTTCTTTCTTTCTGAAGTTGAGTGATACTCCATTCTATGTATGGACCGCATTTTAGTTTACCCGTTCTTCGCTGGACACAGGTTTCTTCCCTCTTTTTGCTATTGTGAATAACATTGCTATGAACATAGTGTAGAAATATGTTTTTGAGATTCTGCTTTTAATTATTTTGAATAAATGTCCAGAAGTGGAGATGATAAATCATAGAGTAGTTCCATTTGTTCATTATTATTATGTGTGTGTGTGTGGAACCAGTATGCTGTTTTCCATAGCAGCTGCGCTATTTTACATTCCCACATACAAAGCACAATGTTCCAATTTGTCCATGTTTTTGACAATGCATATCATGTTTCTATTCTTTTGCTAATAACCGTCCTAACGAGTGAGAGACAGACGTGGCTTCTTCACTTCCTTTCATGTTTTTCACCCAAGCTCTAGGGGGTCTCCAGACACAGAAATGGTGTATGCTCCTATAAGGAGTTTTGCTATTTGGAATAAAAGTGCTTTGTTATCTAAGGCTCTTTATCTTCAGATGGCACCATTTTAAGTAACACTGTTTCACAAAGATTAATGGCACAGACTCCAAAGCCGGAATGGTTGCATCCACATTTTAACTGCTGATCTCAGGGAGCAAAAGTAACCAATCTTTAGTCCCCGCTTCTGCCAAGTAGCGTTGGTGATAATTCCTATCTTGCAGTGTTATTGTGAGTATTTGTTGAGTAAACATAAGTAATTAAAATAGCCCCTGGCATAAAGGAAGCACCTCAATTATTATTATATGTGTCCGTGTAAAATTTGCTATTCATCTCATCAACTCATTCAGCATAAATATTCAGATTTACTGAGACCCAAACCTCTGTGCCATACATTACTATAGACGCTGGGAATGTAGTAATGACCAAACACACAACATTTTCTACCCTATTCGAAGGTGCATTATAGGAGGAGAGACAAAATAATGTATACAAAAAAAGGTATACAAAATATTTTCAGAGTTCTTTAACAATGGAAAGAAAACTATTTTCAGAAGATTTGAGGAATCATCTTTACTAAAATACTTGTATTAGCATATATATGTGACATAAATTGATAAATATTTAAAATCTGGGCAAGGTGCTACAGTTTAGGTGCTCATGAGCCCAGGAATACACCAAATGAGGTGAACTGGAGAGGGGAGGCTGTGCCTACCTGGTAAGGGTAACCCTCTTTGAAGGGGCAGAGCTGCTCAGACTCAACTAGTTTTGCCTGAGAAAATAAAAATTCAGTTTACTCTTTCATTTTGAGGGTACTATATCTCTAATTTAAAAAATTCTTTCAGTACATATGCTATTGCTGTAGAACACTGTGAAAATTAAACCAAGCTTGCCTGGGGTTCACATTTCGCCTGTAGTCTACCAATTTACTTTCTGCTGTCTTGGCAGATAATGGCATTTATTTTCTTGGGAGTGGGAACTTTTATCTTGGTAGCATATAGTCGAACATTGCAGAGCTTTTAATCTGTGACTTCTTTGACACGATTTTTTTCTCCCTACTTTTCCAACCTAGCTTATAGCAGGCTCTGTGTCCTCTTGCTTTGGGGAATATTTATGGCAGGATGGAAATTAGAGATGGTCCGAAAGACACTGGAACCTGGAAAAGAAGAAGACAAGGCGCAAAAAGGATGGAACATCACTGTGGAAGTCACAGAGAGAATGATACTGCCCTCCTTCTCTGCTAGCCAGAAAAGCACACTATTCTATGGAAGTACAGGAGATGGTGCCTGACGATTGCTGATGGGCAAATGACACCTCTAGAAAGCAAAACTGTAAGCATGAGGATTCCCAAACTCAGATATGCTTCCCACATCTCTAGAAGGTAAGCAGAGAACTCAGATATGCCACTCTACTTCTGCCTTCAAAATGAAAGTCCCAGTGATTAGAAGTTTAAATGGAAAAGGCAGGATTTTCTTTTCCTGTTTTGCTGAACATCCAAGTATATGTAAGTCAGGTAAGACTACAAGAATAGAGACCTCATAATGACCAAAATTGGAATTATCTACTACCTTATTTGCATAGGCACTTGATTTCAGAATGTAATTTGAATTGAGATATGATTATCATAAAATAAATTGCATGCTAAACAATAGGTAGCGTTTCAAATGATGAATCATGAGCCGAGAATTTAGATCGAGGCTCATTTCAGATTTCTGGATTTGTGTTTGCTGCTGACAGTTCAGATTGTTATTATGATAAGGTACTTATTAGTTTTGTGGGAGTAGGGAGGAGTTATGACATGACAGCGTAAGTTCTCTAGTTGCCACCTTTACTTGAGTCATTTGTAACTCTTTGAAGATACTCAATTTTCTGTCATTCCTCTGTCTGTTCTTGGGTATAAACATTCTGGAACATATCTAGTGAATATACATTAGTGTGATCACTAATCAAAGTTAAGATTTATATATTTTTTTCTAGAAGCCCTCTGCTCTTCCCAGATTTGTAGTAAAATCATCCCTTCGAGTGTACTTTGCTAGTTGTATGAGATGATGCATGGCTTGGTGAAACTACCTAAGCCTCAGTTTTCCCACCCAGACACTTTCCTCATCTGTATCATTACTATGACTAGATTTACTGTGACTATTTAAGACAATGTATGTGAAATCATTACCTGGCTATATCTTAAAGTGACTCCTATTACATCGGTAAGAGTCCTGAAGGAAGAAGGTATCCTGGTACCTTATAATTCTTTTATAAAATGCTTCCAAATTTATATGCCCATTTTACAGAAAATACTGATTACCAGTGGTTCAGAGATGTACCAGGCACAAGGAGCCTCCCACTCAATCCTAGGCTCTGTGTGATATCTTACTTGTTGCTCCTCATAGCACTGTGGTTGAATATATGAAGAAAATCAGCTGGTAAAATAAGACTCAGGGCCTGCCCTTGGGGAATTTAAAATAATTTGACACTGATAAGGCATAAGCAGAGGAACATATTGTCATGCAGTACAGGAGAAAACGGACTAGGAGGCTGCGAGGTATCAGCGACGGCAGGATTAAATACAACCTGAAGCAGTTAGGAAGATTTCACACAGGTAACATGAAATGTTTCAGACACTGTAGCATGAGGGCACTTAAGGAAGTATGGAAAGAGGTTGCTAATTTGCTGATAGCTTGCCCTGTTTTAGGTACTATAGCAAGTTTTTTCTTTTCTTTTTTTTTTTTATTCACTGATTCTTGCTTTGTCACCCACCTGGAGTGCAATGGCCCGATCTCGGCTCACTGCAACCTCCACCTCCTGGATTCAAGCAATTTTCCTGTCTCGCCTCCTAAATAGCTGGGACTACAGGCGTGCACCACCACACCCAGCTAATTTTTGTATTTTTAGTAGAGACAGGATTTCACCATGTTGACCAGGCTGGTCTTGATCTCTTGACCTCATGATCCGCCTGCTTTTGCCTCCAGAAGTGCTGGGATTATAGCCAGTGACAAGGAGCCTGGACTTTCTTTCTTTATTTTTTTTTAAGAGGCAGAGTCTTGCTCTGTCGCCAGGCTAGAGTACAATGATACAATCTTGGCCCACTGCAAACTCTGCCTCCCAGGTTGAAGCCATTCTCCTGCCTCAGCCTCCCAAGTGGCTGAGACTAAAGGTGCACCCGCCACCACACCCAGCTAAGTTTTCGTATTTTTATTAGAGATGGGATTTCACCATGTTAGCCAGGATATTCTCAGTCTCCCGACCTCGTGAGCCGCCCACCTTGGCCTCCCAAAGTGATGGGATTACAGGCAAGAGCCACCACACCCAGCCTTTTTTTTTCACTTTAAGTTCTGGGATCCATGTGCAGAACGTGCAGGTTTGTTACGCAGGTAGAGATGTGATGTGGTGGTTTGTGGCACCCATTAACCCATCATCTACATTAGGTATTTCTCCTAATGCTATCCCTTCCCTAACACTCAACCGCCAACAAGCCCTAGTGTGTGATGTTCCCCTCCCTGTGTCCATGTGTTCTCATGGTTCAGCTCCCACTTATGAAGGAGAACATACGGTGATTTGTTTTCTGTTCTTCAGTTAGTTTGCTGAGAATGATGGTTTCCAGCTTCATCCATGTCCCTGCAAAGGACATGAACGCATTCTTTTTTATGGCTGCATAGTATTCCATGGTGTATATGTGCCACATTTTTTTTAATCCAATCTATCATTAATGGGCATTTGGGTTGGTTCCAAGTCTTTGCTATTGTGAACAGTGCCACAATAAATGTACATGTGCAGATATCTTTACAGCAAGATAATTTACAATCCTCTGGGTATATACCCAGTAATAGGATTGCTGGATCAAGTGGTATTTGTATTTCTAGATTCTTGAGAAATTGCCACACTATCTTCCACAATGCTTGAACTAGTTTACACTCCTACCAACAGTGTAAAAGCATTCCTATTTCTCCACATTCAACATCTGTTGTTTCCTGATTTTTTAATGATCACCATTCAAACTGGTGTGAGATTGTATCTCAATGGGGTTTTGATTTGCATTTTTTAAATGACCAGTGAAGAT